TCCCTCTCTCTCTACCCGCTCTCTCCTCTCTTACCCGCTCTCTCTCTCTCTTACCACTCTCTCTCTCTCTACGCACTCTCTCTCTCTCTTACCCGCTCTCTCCTCAATCTACCCGTTCTCTCTTTCTCTCTGCCCGCTCTCTTTCTTCTGCCCGACTCTCTTTCTCTCTACCCACTCTCATTCTCTCTGACCCGCCTCTCTCTTCTCTTACCTGCTCTCTTTTCTCTCTACCCACACTCTCTCTCTCTCTCTACCCTCTACTCTCTCCCCCTCACCTCTACCTCTTCCTCTCTCTCTCTCTACCCTCTCTCTCTCTCTCTCTCTAACCCTCCCACTCATCTCTCTACCCTCTCACTCTCTCTTACTCCTCTCACTCCTCTCTCCCTCTCTACCCTCTCACTCCTCTCTCTCCTCTCTCTCTACCTCTACTCCCTCTCTCTCTCTCTCTCTACCTGCCTCTTTCTCTTACCGCTCTCTTCTCTCTCCCTCTACCTCCCTCCCTCTCTCTCTCATTCTCTCTCTCTCTCTTTCTTCTCTCTTTCTACCCCCCCTCTCTCTCTCCTCTCTGCTCTCTCTCTCTCTCTCTCTCTCTCTCTCTTCTCTCTCTTCTCTCTCTCTCTCTCTCTCTCTCTCTCTCTCTCTCTCTCCCTCCTCTCTCTCTCTCTCCTCTCTCTCCCTTCTCTCTCTCTCTCTCTCTCTCTCTCCTTACTATCCCTCCTCTCTCTCTCTCCTTCTATCTCTCTCTCTCTCTCTCTCTCTCTCCTTCTATCCTTCTCTCCTCTCTCTCTCTCTCTTCTCTCCTTCATCTCTCTCTCTCTCTCTCCTTCTCCTCTCTCTCTCTCTCTCTCTCCTCTCTCTCTCTCTCTCCTTCCTTTCTCTCTCTCTCTCTCTCTCCTTCTATCCTCTCTCTCTCTCTCTCTTCTCCTTCTTATCTCTCTCTCTCTCTCTCTCTCCTTTCTATCCTCTCTCTCTCTCTCTTCTCCCCCCCTGTCTCTCTCTCTCCACCACCCCCCCTGTCTCTCTCTACCCTCTCACTCTCTCTCTCTCTCTCTTTCTACCCTCTCTCTCTCTCTTACCCTTCTCTCTCTCTCTCTCTATAGGATATAGGATACTGCATAGCATTGCATACTGCATAGCATAGCATACTGCTTGGTACACCATGCGGTTCCCACGTGGGTCTCCACGTGTGTGCACACGCTACCTGTCTGCCCGTCGCTTCACCCCAACCCACGCTCTCTAAATATAGAAGCCATACTGCTGGTCAGAATAAAAGGGAGGCCAAACCTTGACCTCTCCTCACACCTCAACGAGCCAAACCTTGACCCGGGCTGGCCACTCTGATCTGACTGCTCCTCCAGGCAGCGGCCTCTCCTGGGCTAGACTGGAGGGTCACCCTCAACACCGCCTGATACCTTGTTCTTGTATCGTTATTCTAGTGTGTTTAACAAGTGCATGTAACTCTTAGAAATAAAGAGAACAGCCACTAAGTGTATCACTAGCCGCCACCTGTAATTTAACTACACTATATAGAAGGAGTTTATCACCTTTTATAGTCTGGTGGCAGGTGGTGTGAACTTCAACCTTTCAGCTTGAAGCAAGAACTAATCATCTCCGAAGAAACTAAGACCGCTTGTGTATCAAAAACCATCGCGATATGAAGAAGAAGGCTGCAAATCCACATGAGTACACGCTATGGGCAAATCTTTTCTTTTTCCTTTCTTCTTTCACCCCCCCTCTCTTCTACATCCCCTCTCTCTCCTCCCACTCCCCCCCTCTCTCTCTCTCTACCCCCCCTCTCTCTCTACCCTCTCTTCTACCCCTCCTCTCCCTTCCTCTCTCTCCTCTACCCCCCCTCTCTCTTCTCTACCCCCCCTCCTCCTCTCTCTACTCCCTCTCTACCCCCCCTCTCTCTCTCTCTCTCTCCTCTCCTCTTCCCTCTCTCTCTCTCTCTCTCTCTCTCTGTCTCCTACCCACTCTCTCTCTTTTCTCTCTCTCTCTCTTCTCTCTCTCCTCTCACCCTCTCTCTCTCACTTCTACCCTCTACTCTCCTCTCTCTTCTCTCTCTCTCTCTCTCTCTCTCTCTCCTCTCTCTCTCTCTCTCTCTCTCTCTCTCCCTCTCTCTCTCCTCTCTACTCTCGCTCTCTCTCTCTCTCTACCTGCTTCTCTCTCTCTCTCTACCTGCTCTCTTTCTCTCTACTCGCTATCTCTCTCTCTCCCTCCCTCCCTCCCTCTCTCATTCTCTCTCTCTCTGTCTACCCTCTCTGCTCTCTCTCTCTCTGTCTACCCCTCTGCTCTCTCTCTCCTGTCTACCCACTCTCTCTCTCTCTCTCTACCCACTCTCTTTCTCTACCCGCTCTCTCTCTCTCTACCCACTCTCCCTCTCTCTCTACCCACTCTCTCTCTCTCTACTCCGCTCTCTCTCTCAATCTTACCCGTTCTCTCTCTCTGCTCTCTTTCTCTCTGCCCGCTCTCTTTCTCTCTACCCACTCTCTTTCTCTCTACCCGCTCTCTCTCTCTCTCTCTCTCTCTACCTGCTCTCTTTCTCTCTACCCACACTCTCTCTCTCTCCACCCTCTACACACTCTCTCTCTCTTCTTCTCTCCCCCTCTACCCTCTCTCTCTCTCTCTCCCCCCTTCTACCCTCTCTCTCTCTCTCTCTCTACCCTCCCACTCTCTCTCTACCCTCTCACTCCCTCTACCCTCTCACTCACTCTCTCTCTCTACCCTCTCACTCACTCTCTCTCTCTCTCTACCCTCTCACTCTGTCTCTCTCTCTCTACCCTCTCACTCCCTCTCTCTCTCTCTCTACCTCTCACTCCCTCTCTCTCTCTCTACCCTCTCCACTCTCTACTCTCTTTTTCTCTACCCGCTCTCTCTCTCTACCCTCTCTATCTCTCTCTCCCTCTACCTCCCTCCCTCTCTCTCTCATTCTCTCTCTCTCTGTCTACCCTCTCTGCCTCTCTTCTCTGGTCTACCCACTCTCTCTCTCTCTCTCTCTCTCTCTCTCTCTCTCTCTCTCTCTCTCTCTCTCTCTCTCTCTCTCTCTCTCTCTCTCTCTCTCTCTCTCTCTCTCTCCCGCTCTCTCTCTCTCTCTAACCCGCTCTCTCTCTCTCTCTACCCGCTCTCTCTCTCTCTCTACCCGCTCTCTCTCTCTCTCTACCCGCTCTCCTCTCTCTCTACTCCGCTCTCTCTCTCTCTCTACCCGCTCTCTCTCTCTCTCTACCCGCTCTCTCTCTCTCTCTACTCCGCTCTCTCTCTCTCTCTCTACCCGCTCTCTCTCTCTCTCTACCCTCTCTCTCTCTTCTACCCGCTCTCTCTCTCTACCTGCTCTCTCTCTCTACCGCTCTCTCTCTCTCTACCCGCTCTCTCTCAATCTACCCGCTCTCTCTCAATCTACCCGCTCTCTCTCAATCTACCCGTTCTCTCTCTCTGCCCGCTCTCTTTCTCTCCGTCCGCTCTCTTTCTCTCCGTCCGCTCTCTTTCTCTCTGCCTGCTCTCTTTCTCTCTACCCACTCTCTCTCTCTCTCTCTACCTGCTCTCTTTCTCTCTACCCACACTCTCTCTCTCTCTCTCTCTCTCTACCCTCTACACACTCTCTCTCTCTCTCTCTACCCTCTACACACTCTCTCTCTCTCTCTCTCTTTCCCCCTCTACCCTCTCTCTCTCTCTCTCTACCCTCTCACTCTCTCTCTACCCTCTTACTCTCTCTACCCTCTCACTCTCTCTACCCTCTCACTCACTCTCTCTCTCTACCTTCTCACTCTGTCTCTCTCTCTCTCTACCCTCTCACTCTGTCTCTCTCTCTCTCTCTCTCTCTCTCTCCCTCTCTCTCTACCCTCTCACTCTCAACCCTCTCCCTCTCTCTCTCTCTCTGTGTACCCTCTCACTCTCTCTCTAGAGAGAGAAAGAGAAGTGGAAAAACAATCCTTCATCAAAGATAAAGCTGCTGTGACTCAAGTGCTTACTCCACATAATGGCTATCACACTTAGGGCCATTTATATCAATTTTGGCATTTTTGCAAAATCTTTCCAATTGCAAATAGTCCAACCCTATAACACTGTCAGAGAATCTTATTTCTTTATTGAAAGAATTCTCCTGCATCAACATCTAAGCAACATATACAAAGCCCCAGGTAAGAAAAGGTCATATAGAATTATTATAAAGTATTGTGACAAAAAAGTTACAGATGAGTTCACATATTTGGACAAAATATGTTACAAGTCAAAAGCTGTAGAGCATTGTAGGTTAGTATGGTAGTGAAAAGGGTAAAGAGGGATTAACAAATGGAGTACAAAGGCCGTTTAGGATTTACACAAAGCTAGCCTTTCATCCTTTCAGCACAGCTCTCACACTTTAGGATGTGGACAGAAGGGGATTAAGAGAAGGAAAA